GTGGTCTAATTTAAATCAGTGGATAAAATAAAGATGTCTTTAAACTTGGTGACATCTTCACTTTTTTTCTTTTTAGTATACATGCTCACATGTTATTTAATGGAAAAAAAAAACCCAGTATGACCCACCTAAGGCTGGTTTCTTTCTGTGTCTCACAGTTGACTGCCCATGTGTACTACCGTGGCTGAACCTGAACAGATAAACTGGGTCTTGCTTATGATCAGGCTAGTATGCCATTTGTGAACAGAAATCCTAAGAAGAGGTACAAATACTGATATCACATGCACAGACCACTGATTCCTTTTCCTGTACTTAGCCTTTTCCATGCTTTAATCTTGTTCTTTTTAAAAATTGTTTTTTAAAAAAGCAAACAGAAAAAAGGGTAGAAATGATACAGAATTTCAAAAAATAACATTAAGAAAAAAATAATAAGAAATCATCACTAGTTGTTATATTACATATTGCTATCTCAGAAGTAGTTATTCAAGTAACTTAATCTTGTTCTTTATCCCTAAGCTTCCCTTGGGCATCTAGATTTGAGAGTTATGTCTCCTCACACTTGGTGACTCGTAAATAAACATTTTGTCTTTTTCAGTACTTGTAATTTTAGTGATTGATATATTGTGCAGCAGGCAAAGTGTCTGGTCCAGAAGCATCCTTTCTCCCTGAATTTTAGCTCCTTGCAGGTCCCGAGAGACTGTAGATGAGTCTGAGCACATTCTTCAGTCACTCATCACAGAGAGTGTCCCCAGGCATTTTCCCATTGCTCAGCACTGCTGACTATCTGTGCATTATCTCAGGCATTTATACTGTAGAAACAGTAGCTGATCTGGAAGACATCTTATCCTGCAAGTAACTTCTATAGAAATGACCAGACTTCTGTTTATCTTTCTCTGTAATTTGGCTTCCATTGTGAGAACCTTCCTTTTAGAGATGCCTGCTACTTGATTTTTCAATGGAAGTTGTGGATTGGCATTTATGGAGAGAGTTCTGGTTTAAAAATTATTAAAAGATCTTTGTCAATGGAATTTCTCTTTTAACTTCCCAAAGAAAATGCTCTTCTGGTCTCTTTTCTGGTTTTGGGGACACCTAATATTTGACTGCTGGAAACACTACTGTGGTCTTGTTTGTACTTCATTGCAAGAGTCTCAAGATCTGATTCTAGCATAAATAACGTAAGTGTATCGTTGAGTAGCTTGGTCTCAATCCATTAATTTATATTCTCCAAATTAGGGTGACTTTTAGCTATGTGTCTGTGGTGAGGGAAAACAATTTTCTTATATAATTGCTCCTGGGCTTGATATTCTTAGGTTAGGAGAGAAATGGCTTGAAAATGGACTCTCAAAACTGCGTTTGGTAGAACTTAATTCAGAGTCATCAAAATAAACTGTTCCCAGAATTCCTGGGCACAGCTTTGGAGAGAGTTCCCATGGTTGTTCTATTCTTTTTGCAATTTCCTCCTACACTGCCTGTGGGTTTTTTCCTTACTTTTCTAAAGTAATTTTGTTTTCCATTGAGTGCAGTTATATGTTCAATTCTCTGGCAATGATGTATTTTATTTATTTAACTGATATATTAATAGAATTTCATAAACATGTTAATTGTAGAAATGATGGATTCAGTAAGGTATTCCCATACATTTCTACATCATGAATGGATCATTTCTGTGGACCCTTTTCCTACTCTCCTTTTCCTATTTCTAGCCCTGGTAATCAGTCTCCTATTTCCAGGAAGGTTATTTTTTGTTGTTTCTATATATGTGAGGACATATGATCATAGCTGTCCTCTGTATGATTTAATATGATGTTCTCAAATTCTATCCATTTTTAAAGAAAGGCCTGAAGATTGTATTATATCATCATGATTTTGATATTTGTACTGTGATAATGTTCTTGCTTATTAGTTTGTTGTTTGTGTCCAAGTTTTTGTTTTTTATCATCACCCGTTTGAAACACACAATAATCACATTCCCCTTGAGGAGCTGGTACATGGACATAACACATCTAATTCTTTATTTATCCTTTCCCTTTCCTCTCCCTTCTCTCTCCTTCTCATTTAAGAAGATCTGTCTCCCTAATTCCTATCATCTATGTTTTATTTTGCTCTTTGTTTATAGTTGTACTTCTGATATAGGAGAAACCATTAAATATTTGAGTTATATCTCTTTTTCTGAATGAAGTTAGACTAGGTCTAACTGTTGAAAATAACTAACTTCAGTTATTAAAAATAAGTGTGTAACTGTATTCTTTATGTAATGTAAAGCCTTATAGTTATATTACATTAGGTAACAAAGATAATGCTAATGTGTTGTTTCTAAGTAAAGTTAAGTTCTGAAACATCAATTGCTTAATATACATTTGAAGATGCTTAGCTTCTTTAATTCTGTCAAAGGACAGTATACTTTTGGTTCTATTCATAAATGTATCTCATAAACTTTTGGTATATGGGTTAATGATTTAAGATTTATTTCTAGATCTTCTCTAAAATGTAAGGTGATTAAGAATTAAGTATTGTAATTGACATATGTAATTCTATATGCATAAGTTCAAAATATAAGGAAGAGTTTAATGAAAGAATCTATTTAAAGGGAAATTTGTTTTAATGAAAGAAAAATAATTTTGTCTGAATTCAATGATTTTATAAACATTGGTTAAAAATGTATTCAAGAATCAAGGCAGAAAGAAAGCTATAATGAACATATGCTTTTGGTGAGCAAAATTACTTTAAGTAAGTTCAGCAAGTTATAAGTTTATACAGGATGAATCCATTGAAAGACTTCTCAATGTAGTAACCAAATTTGTTAATATAACTGATATAAGGCAAACACTCAAATATCAATCACATTTCTGTACACAAACAAAAAACTCACTGAGAAATGAGGAACCACACCCTTCACAATAGCATCCAAATAAATGAAATTCTTAGAAATCAATCTAACAAAGGTAGTAAAACATCTATACAGTGAAATTTCCAGTACTCTGAAAAAACGAAATTGAAGAGGATTTCAGAAAATGGAAAGACATTCCTTGTTCACAGATAAGAAGAACAAACATTGTGAAAATGGCCATTCTCCCAAAATTGTTGTACAGGTTTAATGCAATTCTAATCAAAATACTATTAGCATACCTTATAGATCTGGAGAAATCATTCCTAAAATTCATCTGGAACCAGAAGAGACCTAGAATAGCAAAGGCAATTCTGGGCAACAAAAAGTAAGGTAAGAGTCATAACAATCCCCACTTTGAAATCATACTACAAAACTACTATGACAAAATCAGCATGATACTGGCATAAAAACAGACCCAAAGATCAATGGAATAGATTAGAAGATACAACCATAACTGCAAATGCACTCAGTCATCTTATCTTTGATACAGTGATCAAACACTGAAAGAAAGGCAGCCTCTTTAACAAGTTTTACTGGAAAAACTAGCTTTTCATATGCTGAAAACTAAAAGTAGACCTATGCCTATCACCATGCAGTAAAATGTATCAAAAATCTTAATATTAAAACAGAAGCATTGACTCTCCTGGAAGACAAAGTAAGTAGAAATCTTGAAGACATGGGGGTAGGCAGAGATTTCATTAAGAAAAGTCAAACCACATGGGAAATACTTCCCAGAATCAACAACTGTACCACATCTTACTAAAAAAGTTTTTGCATTTCAAAAGAAATCTCCAATAGAGTGAAAAGAAAACCCACAAATTGGCAAAAAAAATCTTTGTCAACTGTCCCGCAAACAAAGGACTTCTATCTAGAACATATAAAGAATTAAAAATAATCAGGGCTTCAAAATTCAAAGGCCCAATCCAAAAATGGGAATCTGAGATGAATAAACACTTCTCAGCTGAAGAAATGCAAATGGCAAATAAATATATCAAGGAATGTTCAGCATCGTTGATCACTAGAGAAATGCAAATTAAAACAACATTGAGATTCTATCTTACTCCAGAATGAATGACCAGGATCAAAAAAATCACCAGTATCAAATGCTGGAGAGGCTGTGGGGAAAAAGCAATTCTTCTGCACTGCTGGTGGGAGTGTAGACTGGTGCAGCTACCGTAAAAATGAATGTAGAGGTTCCTCAAAAAGCTTGGATTGGCGATTCCATTTGACCCAGCTATTCCACTTCTGGGCATATTTGCAGAAGAGTTGCAAACATCATACCACAGTGATATATGTGCACCCATGTTTATAGTAGCACAATTTGTAATAACCAAATCTCGGAAACAACTTAGACGCCAATCAACTGAGATATGTATGAAAAAGATGTAATATTTTTATACAGTTGAATACTACTCAGCTATAAAGAAAGATCACATTGAGGCTTTTATGGATAAATGGATAATTGGATGAGACTTGAGAGACCATACTCATAAGTGAAATAAATAAAATCATGGGCAAGTACTGTATTGTTTCCCTGGTGTAAGACATGGAAAGAGTAAATAAGATCTAAAGACTTCATTAATATTATAAAAGGGTTAGAAACTGCTCAAAGGGAAAAAATAACACAGTGGAAAGGAGAAAAGAAGGAAGAGAAAAGAAAATAATGTAAATTTGTCTGTATACATGAGATAGCAAAGATGGTTGTACTACTAATTGTATTCTTGGAACAAAACAGTTAATGTTCATAGGATTAGATCAGTTTTGCATGTCTCTGTCTGGTACTCTGAGTAACTCTTTTGAAGATCACTGCAAAATAACAACCTTTGTTAAGTTCTACTACCTTGTTTTGGAAGCCTATATTGTTATTGTTTTGGGGTTTTTGTTATTGTTGTTCATTTGTTTCTTTTGTTTATTGTTTTTCTTGTGTTTTGTTTTTCCCTCTTTAAAATAAAAAAAGGAAAGGATAAATTACTGAGGGAAGAGAAGAGTAAGAAGATGAGGGGGAAGTTGTTAGATTCTGCCTTCCCTAGTGTTACCTGTCTTACCCTCTGTAAGGAGTCCTCTGTGTTCCAAGACCGTCAGGTTTGTTTTCTTGTGCTGCCTTTTCTCCTAGGTTACTACTGTGAGCCCTACAACAACCCTGCAGACTTCATTCTAGATGTGTTAAGTGGAAACTCCGCTATTGTAGTAAACCAAGAGGGAGAAAGCTCTGAAGGTATGTGAATTTTTTGGGTACACAGGGGTGTTGCCTAACTGGCTTATCTAAAATTCATTAATGTAGTGACTCATTACCACATGATTTTATAAATTTCTGTTAATGCATTGTTCTGATACCAGTCATCAGATAGGCATTGTTGTCTATGAGTGTTGTAGGTATTTTGATTTAATTGGTAAATGAGCATTTATATAACATTGCCAATTGTAAGGGGAGTTTCCATTTAAAAACAAAAATGTTCATTTTGTGTGTGTGTGTGTGTGTGTGTGTGTGTGTGTGTGTGGTACCGGGGATCAAACTCATGACCTCACACTTGCCAGGCAGGCTCTTATGCCGCTGAGCTAAATCCCAGCCCCATTCATTGTTTATAGTATTTTTAAAATAAGACATTGGGATTTTTTATATTTGCACATAGTAGAAAGTAGGGACTAAAGTTTTATAATAAGAATTATAAATTTGTATGGTAACAAGTCTGTTTTAAGAATTGACATTCAAATTGTTAGAAAAAAGGTCAGTGATTATTGCATACCCATAAGATTATGTAGTAGCCAGGTCAGATAGCTGTCTTTTTCTCATGTGTAAAGTAATGACAGAGCTAGTGATTTCTTTTTGTACACAAGTTTTCACATTAAGATGTTATCCAATAAAAAGTCAGAGAAAACTGTTACATCAGTTATTTTATTCCTGTCTTTAATGTTTCTTGTATTCATCTATTTTTATTCCAAAGCCAGAGAGACTGAAGTGTTTTATAAGAGAAACAAACCAGCTGTAGAAAACTTAGTTAACCTTTATGTCAACTCATCCTTCTACAAAGAAATAAAGGATGAATTAGATAATTCCGACTTCCCAAGAGATCAGAAGAAGAGGAGCTCAGCATTCAAGATCATTTGTACTACCTCCTTCTTGCATCAGCTAAAATGTATTATGAAACGTTCATTCAGAAACTTGCTAGGTTATCCTCAAGTCACTATAATGCAGGTAATTCAGCATATTTTTTCAATGTGATGTGAAATATTCATGTTGAAACAACTTGTGTGTGTCTGTGTGTGTGTGCTGAGACAGATCCCAAAATGTAATTAAGTCTGGCCTTGAACTCACTGTGTAGCCCAAGCTGGCCTTGAATGATCCTCCTGCGTCAGCCTCCAAAGCGCTGGGATTACAGATGTGCTTCACCATACCCTGCTCAGCAGTTTGGTTCTGATGTGATCTATTTAAGGGTTATGTTTATCTCCTATGCACCTTACCATTTACTTGTCATCTCTATTCCATTTGGGATCTAGAAACAATCAGTAGGATGAAAAAACACAATTAAGTTTCTATATAGAGAAAGCTTTTGTTAGTTGCTTCTTGCACTATCTAACTCAAAATTTTTGTTGATTTAGATGAACTGTAATGGATTATCAGAGCAAAAAAAAAAAAAACCCAAAATGTAAAGCACCATCAGTGATGTTTGGGATATTCTAGAAACTGCAACTATATTCAGGAATTCCTTCCACAACTTTAACATAAAATCACATGTTGCCTTTTGAGATTCTAATACAATAGTGAACAAAATGAGTAAAGATAAAATCTCTGGTCTCACAGAAATTATTTTCTTATGAGGGCAGAGAGATGGTAGCTGAATGAAAAATAAAATATATTACATTTCAGATGGCAGACAGGACTGCAGAATGTTTGATCAGAGACGAGGGGCAGGGGCTAGAGGGAGAGAGTGACATCAGGAGAAGGCTTGCTTGCAATTGAAGCCAGGAGACGAGGGAACCCATGGCAGCAAGTGGTCTTGAAGGTAGCTTAGGCTGTTTACTGTCTGAGAAAAGAGATTTCATGCCAAAAGATGTGTGCCCCATAACTGATTTCTTTATTTTGAGGGTTTCATTTTTGGAAATTCATAGGTACCCAAATGAGTGTATAGTTTGTACATAGGTAGTAACCAGATGTAATAAGGCTGTTTATGGGCAGATTAGGTCACTTAACTACGATGAGATCATGTCCTTGCCTGATTTTGGATGACTCTATGGAAGTTGTTTATTAGTCCTTATTTTTTGGGGGGAGGGGATTTTACTTGTTTTTTTTGTTGTTGTTGTTGTTGTTGTTGTTGTTGTCTTCTTCTTCTTCTTCTTCTTCTTCTTCTTGTTTTTTTCTAATATTGGTCTGCTTTTTGTCTCTGTGACTAAGCACCAGACATAAACAGCTTATAGAAGGAAAAATGTGTTTGGCTAAGATTTGCAGGGGTTTCAGTCCATGATTGTATACTACTGTTGCTCAGGGTCTGAAGTGAGGCAGAAGTCACTGCCGAAGGGTTTGATGACAGCCTGATAGCAGCCTTGAAATAAAGAGAAAAGGAAAGAACAGTGAAGAAGGAGCCAGGAACTATGCATAGCAGTTAGGATCAAGCCTTGGAACCAGGCCCAGTCTCTTGTTTCTATTACCTTCCAGTAGTGCCATGAAATCACGATCTCATGAATGAGTTAGTCCACTGATGAATTTAGTGCCTTCATGATCTAATTGTGTCTGGAAACACCCACAGACTTACCTAGCAGTATGCTTAACTAATGTCTTTGGCAGTCCTGCATCTATCAGTTTGACTATCATGAGTAACCGCAAAACTTTGTCACAGATCACTGGTTCTTCCAGCTCATTTCTTTATCATCTATAAAGAAATTATTTTAGGTTGTTTTTGGGTTTGTTATTTTTAGTATCTGTCATTGAGTTGCTATTGAGTTCTAATAGCATGTTAGTCTAATGAAATACTATGGACACATGCACCATAATTTTCTTATTGAAGTTTGTCACTTTCCAAGTGTATCTGAGAGCCTTCACTCCTGTGTGTGTCATAGTGTCAGACACTGCAGTGTTGGTGGTTATTTGATTAGGCACTTCTGTGAGAACGTGAATACTTTTGTGTCCTGTCAATCCAGGACAATATTTCATTCTTTGCAGGAGATTTGATGCCATTTGGAAAAGTGTTTTAAGAATTAAATCCATCAACTGGGGTTACCCCATTGTTGAACACTGACATGATGTAATGAGTTGATTTTTCCTGTAATTTATGTATTAGGTTTCTCTTATTTGCCTGTAGAAGTGGTTTATAAGTGTCTTGTCCAAGACACATATGTGGTAGTTCTAAGCAGTGTCTGATTAAAATTCATCTACTTCAGTCCCCCTGGATTGTGAGTGGTTTGGCCCAAGGCTTCCTCATGATGCAACCACCAGGCCCATTGCCTCCAGGATTCAAGTTCAGCAACCTTGCTTCATTAGTGAGCTCAGTTCCACAAAGGGAACACAGCAAAGCTCAGAGAAGCAGAAGTCTGTAACATAAGGTTGAGACCTTGATTCTCCCTGAGCTTAGTGGGACAACTCTTAATTTGTAAATATTGAATGATTACCTTACTAGTGGACAATCCCATTTTGAGAATAGACTAGATAGTAAATATTTTAGACTTCACAGGCCATACATGGGATTTGTCTCAGGTAGTCTACCCGGCTATTTTAGTGTGAAAGCAGCCATCGCTAATATATAAACAAATGAATATGTCTTTCTCTCTTTCTTTCTTTCTTTTTTTTCTTTGATACTGTGCTTGCCAAGCATGTGCTTACTCCACTGAGCCAAATCCCTGGTTATTCTTTATTTGAATAAAATGTTATGATGTTATGCTATTCGGTGACATTTGAGTTTCAAATAAATTTGATATTGTAAGGATATTACTCTGTACATTTTTAAGTCTGAAATAATAATTATTCTCTATGTTATTAGGTATGAAAGCCATTTTAACTTTCAGACAGAACAAAAATAGTTGGCTGTCGCTTAGTGGCCTATGGGTAGCATTTTACTAACTTGCAAATACACTAGGACTTTTATTTATATTTTAATAGAACTATGCTGTATATATTTTTAAATCTGTTTTTAATGTAGAATTACTAAAAATTTTATGATTTCGTGCCAAAAAATACTGTATCTGTTGTCTTATGGCTTGAAGTAGTCATTTACATGGCTCAGACTTGACCTGTACGCAAAAGTTGTATTAGAAGGCTCTTGGAATGAATGGATTTTCTGCATAGGAAGATTTAGCGTTTGTTTAATGGATGAGGGGCTTCCTAATCAAATTAATTTGTTAAAATTTAGCATTAATCTCTCAGTGTTATCATTTCTACCAGCGTATTACAAACCTACAATGGGTTCTCCTTTTTTCTGGAGACAGTGTCTCCCTATGTAATCCGGGTGACTTCAGTTTCGTCTCAGTTAAGGTTGAGACAAACCCAAGTCTGTCTCAAACTTACTTCTCCTGTGTCTTCAGCTTCCAAGTGCTGAGATTATGATGAGCCACTACATTCGTATTTTTAATAAAAGTTAGAAAAATCACTCAACATATTTTAGAGTGATCCATGTGTTGAAAATATGCTGGAGACCAAATTCCCAAATCTCCTAGATGGTGTCATTTACACTGTTGTTTAATGTTTATTGTACATGATAGTTTTCTTACTTATGCAAAAAAGTGTAATTCTGATGCACTTTGTAAAAGCAGGATGTCATTATGGGATTCATCATTTTTCAATGTTGCAAAACAGCTAAAATTTGTTGTAGAACTTTGAAACCAATAGTGAGCATCACAGTAGAAACACTGATTTTTGTTAGTATAAATTTTCAAGTTTGGATGTAAAAAAAGTACAACAAAGAATATGGAATGCCTAGTTTAAAAGACTGATTCTTAAAATCTAGGCTCTGTGAAACTATAGACCCTTGTATACATGGGTATGCTACTGTTGATAGTCATTGGTATTTACTTTAGATCTGCTGAAGTCAGGTGTATTTTGAGAGTAGTAAAAATATGCCATGGCAAAGGAGTTCTTTTCTCTAAATGTCCATCTTGTTGCCAAAGGAATTTAAGGATATCTTACAAGTGAAACATTTTATAAATGTCCTTTGCAGGTTAAGATTTTCACAAACTAGTTTTTATAGATCTTCATTCTGTTTCTACTTTGGCTTGGTTTTCCTCAAATGTACCCTTCACAAATTACTTCATGTCTTTATATTATTGTAGTATTGAGACTTTATTTTTTAACTTTGAAGTTTCCAAAATATATATTAGAATATTTTGTTTTCTTTAGGTTACTATGTTCTGTACCTCTGTATTCAGTCCATCAATAATTTTAGATTTCCTCAAAAAGTATGTCATAATGTAACCCTTGCTAATTGAAGAATCCTTAACACAGTTTTCATCCTAAAATTAAAAGTGAAGTTTGTTCAGTCTCCTTGGGAGCCCTCCACACCGATTGGGGAGGTGAAGAGAGGTGAGGATAGCAAATATCCACAGCTCCACTGGCCGTGAGGACTGCAAGCCTTCCTGATGCAGGGACAGAGGAGCAAGTAATGGAAGCATTGGATGCCCCCAAGAAAGCTGGCTGGGTGCTTTGGGGGCACTTTCTCACATAGGCAGGGACTCCTCATAAGTTGGCGAGAAGGGGCCACCTCCCTCCTACTTCTTATGCAAAATTTCCTTCTTAGAAATGTTGTGTGCTTTAAAAATTCTAGTTTTTATTCATTTTTCAGTGCAGGACATTGATCCCAGGGTCTTGCACATGACAAGCAGGTATTCTGCCTTTGAGTTACATTCTCAGCCCTAAAATGGTATTTATTTCTAATGATAAGCATAAAGATAACTTTTTGTGAACTTTTTAAACTATAAACTATATGTTCACTGCCATAAAAGTTATGAATTTACTTCAAATCAAAACTGTTGGCCACATGGACTTTATTCTTAAAATGACTTCTCCAGGGAAGTGTAATGCTTGTGGGTCCAGTGGCTTAACTGGGCCCTGAGTTAGCAATATCTGGTGGGACAATAGGAAGAACCTTGGATTTGTCAGTCATCTGTACTGTGTTCATTCAGAGCCTCAAACAACAGATAACTTAATTTTCAGCTTAATTTATAAAGCAGTCATATAATGCTCAGTGTTTTATATTCTCCCAGGGACTCTGGAAAAGTCATTGGAAGTGCTTATTTCAATGGAGATATTTGACAGGTGGCCATATTTATTATAAATACTGTGTAAACATTTTTACCTTTGATTAAAACTCTGCTTTTTCATTTGAAAAGCTATTGTTAATATTGGCGATAGCAGTGATTACAAGCTTTTTTTTTCTTGGACGACATGATAATTGTACTGCACTCCAGAATCGGTAAGTAAATTTTTATCTTCATTTGGGAAAAATTTTGATACTTTGTTCAAGATTGTAAACATCCATTGGGAACTTGAATTTTGGGTGAATGTCACTATTTTATTGAGGGGTTAGGATAAGTCAGTGCATTGAAAACTGAGTGGGAAAGTTAACTTTCTCTTTTCCATGTGTATTATGTAGTGGTAAGATAAATGCAACATAAATTCTGTGCCATTTTTAAGTGTAGGGCTTAGTGACATGAAGTATATTCATATGATGCGGCCACCATCCAACTCTTAAGACTTTACTTCAGCTTCCCAAATAGATGCCTCATATACATTGAACACCCCATATCTACCTCTCTCCATACCTGGCTAATGCCATTCTCTGTCTCCGAATTTGACTGCTCTAGGAACATCTTAAATTATCAATCATACAGTACAGTATTTGTGAGGGTTTTTTGGTGACTGGCTTAATTCCCTTAGCATAATGTTCTCAAAAGTCTTGCAAATTGTAGCATGTATCAGAATATCTTGGTTTTTTAAGGCTGAATAAGCACTCTATTATATGTATGTACTACATTTTGTTTATCAGTTTATCTGATGATGAAAATTTGGGTTGCTTCTACCTTTTGGCTACTTTGAACAACAGTGCTATAGGCATACAAATGTTTGGTGAACTCCTGCTTTCAGTTTTTTGGGGCACATGTGCAGGGGCAGAATTGTTTGACCGCATGGCAGTCAGGTTAATTTTGGGAGGAGCTGCTGCCCTGTCCTTCACAGCAGCTGCACGATTTTGCATTCTTAACAGCAGGAGACAAGAATCTCCATTTCTCTGCATCCTCACCTAGTACAGTTTTTGTTTTAATAATAGAGATTCATTAGATCTTTAAAATGTGGATTGAAATGTGGATTGTTGTTATTTTTGTTACTGAATTGGAATTCTTTATACTTCTGCATATTAATACCTTGGCCAATACAAGATTTGCATTTTCCCATTTTATGGACTTTTTATCACTTTGTTGATAGAGCCTTAGGTGAATAAGTATTTTTAAATCTGATGTAGTCAAGTTCATCTATGTTTTTGTTTTACTGTGTGTGAGAAAGTTTCCCTGGAGTTTATGTATTTGTTGGATGTGGGGGTAGCTCGAGTGGGTATTTTGTTACTCTTAACTCATTTCAGTTTAATGTGCCCTTATAAACCTTGTTTCTGAGGAGACTTTTAGACAACTGCATTGTGCCCTGAATGCAGATGCTCACAGTTTCCAGTCCTCTAATTCATGTACAGAGAACTGCTCTTTGCCAGGCTCTGATCTGCGATTGACATCCCAGCAGTCAAAGGGGTAGTCGTATTTTTATGACTAAGGAAAGTTGTAGATCATGGTGATCTACTTTAATTTCTGCAAAAGACTGATTATTTTTGAAAGAAAATAAACATAAAAGCCAATTCTTCACTCACTTCAAACTAAGTAGTGAATCATGACAGTACCATAATATTTGAGATGGTTATTGCAGCGATTTTCCAAAGTTTGTCATCTTTTTACCTTTCTCTGAAAGTTGAGTCCTCTGGACTGTTTCCAAACATGCCAGGACTTGTTTTGTGCCCTGTATTGAAGCCCTTTTCTCACCAACTCAGCCTTCACCACAGGCTCTAGAGGATGTGTCTCGTGGTAGAAGTGAGAATTCAAAAAATATTGAGCCAACTGTCATCAACTGGAATTTTAAAGACCACGTGGAAATCAAGACATGTAAGGTCTTACCGGAAAAACTCAGGGGAAAAAAAAAGAAGTGCTTTAGGTTCTTCTTCAGATGTTTTGTGGAGAAATTGGACGTTTATTTTATTTGACGAAAAAAAAAATTTCATAACAAAATAATAAGAAAATGACAATAGTTAATACACTGTGTATCATTATCTTTGAAGTAGTTACTTATGGTATAAGATAGAAACCAAAAAGGTTCTTAGAAAAAAGAAACAGTAACAGAAAACTTTTCAATGATCTAAGATATACTAGTAGTATAAATGGAACAAATTGGCATATATATTAAAATATTTTAAAAAGAATGAAATAAGCAATTTGAGGAGGCATTTGAACTTACTTCCTATTTATCTCTCTTCTATTTTGCTTTTTATGTGTATATTTATATGTATATATTTTTTATTTCTTATGTAAGACAAAACGTCTAATATTTGAGTTTGTGTCTAACTTCACTTAACATATCCTCAGGTTGCATCCACTTACCCACAAATGCCTCAAGTTTATACTTCTTTGCAACAGTGTAGTATTCCACTGTGTATGCATACTACATTTTCCTTATCCATTTATGTGTGAATGGAAAAATATGTGTTTCAAAAATCTAGCTGTTACAAACTGTGCTGGTATACATATGGGTATGTATCCCTGTAATAGGATGATTTTTTTTTTAGTTTCTTGAGATGAGGAACACCTCAAAGAGGGATAGGTAGGTCAAATGGGATTTCTATTTTTAGTATTTTGAGGAATATCTACATGATTGCCATAGTGGTTGATGTAGTTTAAATTCTCATGGGAAACATGGAACAATTCTTTATCCAATATGTCCTTTCCTGCATTTGTAATTATTAGACTTTTTGATGATAATCATTCTTTCTGGAATAAGGTGTCTGTTTTTAAATTTGCATTTATTTCTTTTTATTTTAAAAACAAAAATAAAGACGATGATATAGAATTCAAACCAATAGGAGATTAACACTGGGGTTAATATATTACATGCTGTTATCTCTTCAACTAGTAGTTGTTCAGATTACAAGACGTAGGTATGAAAAAAATGATCCAACAATCAAACAATGAAAACAGAACTGTTCTTTCTGATGAACTAACAGATTAGCAGTATAGTTATTTATCATATACATATATATGTCTATATTAATGCATACACATATACATATAATCTTTTCCCTTTTTTCTTTTCTTTAATGGTCAGTGATGGTGAATATTTTTCATGTGTCTTTTGGCCATTTGTACTTTCTTTGAAATGCCTAATCGTTTTGGTTAATCATTTTTTGATGGGGTCTTTTATTTTGAGGAGTCTAAATATTTTAGTTCTTTACATATTCCTGATGTTAGTTCTGATGTCCATGGAAGAGCTAGAAATTTTTTTTCCCATTCTGTAGATTGTGTCTTTACTGTTGGTTGTTTCCTTCACTGAGCAGATTTTTAGGTTGATGCGACCTCCATTTGTTGATTATTGGGGCTATTTTTATTGCCAGTGTAATGCTGTCCAGAAAGTTCTTGCCTGTGCCTTATGTCTTCAAGAGTTATATCCATTTTATCTTCCAGGAGATTGTCAATATTAAAACAATATTGATATACTTGATCTATTTTGATATTAGTTTAGCACATGGTGCGATGTGTAGGTCTAGACTCAGTCTTCTGCATCTGGATACTCAAGTTTCTCAGCCCCATTTATTAAAGAGGCTATATTTCCACTAATGTTTGTATGTATTTATTTACTTACTTGTTTTTATGAGTACATGTTTGCCATATATAATGATCACATTTATCATAGAAAATTTGTACCTGTACATAATATTTCTTAAGTACTGGTTCATAGTATTTAATTCCATTTTCCTCATTTCCCTCTCCTCCTTTTTACCTTTTTACAAAGCTTTGTTTCAGTTTTCCCTTCTATTCTCTTTTTTAAAAATCCCTTTTCATTTCCTTCTTTCCCCTCCATCCTCTCTTGTTCCATTCTCGTTTGAACAAGTTCCTGTTTTCCAATACTGCATAGTTTTTATTTCAGTGTGTGTTTCAGACTCTTGTCAAAGTTCAAATACCTAAATGTACCTGGGGTTGTTTCTGCTTCTATTTTTCTGTTCCACTGATTTATGTGCCTGTTTTTTTTTTCCAGTATCACACTATTTTAATCACTGTAGCTTGTAGTGTAATTTCAAGTCTGAGATTGTGATTCCATTGGCTTTGTTACCCAGGATTGCTTTTACTATTTTGGGTCTTTCTAGATTCGATATGCATTTTATCATTGCTTTCTCTAACTCTGTGAGAAATGACATTGATAGTTCGATTGGGATTTCATTAAATCTGTATTTCAGTTTTGGAAATTTGGTCATTTTGATTATGTTGATTCTGCCTATCCAGGAACAGGAGATAGCTTTCCATTTTATGGTATCTTCCTTGATTTTCTTTTTCAGAGTAATGTAATTTTTATTGTAGAAATCTTTTGCTTCCTTACTTATGTTAATCCCTAAGTATTTACTTTTTTGGATGCCATCATGAATGGTATTGTTTTGCTAATTGCTTTTTCAATTTGTTCATTTCAGTTTGTTGCATGTCAAAGGAAATCTCCCATAGAGTGAAAAGAAAATCCATAAATTGGGAAAATCTCTTAGCCAACTGTCCCTCAGACAAAGGACTTCTATCTAGAGGCCCCCAGAATTCAAGGACCCAATCTAGTACCATGCACAATTACTGAATATAGGTATAAAATAAATGTAGGAGTCTTTGGGGACTTGGAAGTAAAGGATCATGTCATTTGCAAATGATGACATTTTGACTGTCTTTTTTTTCCATTTGAAAAAGCTTTATGTTTTAAGGGAAAAATGATACAGAAAAGAAAAGCAAAAAGCAAAAGAGACAAACAATAACAAACCCAATACAATAATAGTATAGGTTTACAAAACAAGATGATAGGAATTTTACAATGGTTGTAATATTGCATATTGTTACCTTCAAAAGGCATGCTTAGATTAACTGATGTAGACATGTAATGTTGATCTAATTATATGAATATTAACTGTTCTTTTCCATTAACTAAAACATTTAGAAGTATAGTCATTTTACCTATCATACACACACACACACACACACACGCACATATATACATACAAATGTATGTCGTTTTCCTTTTCCCTTATTTCTTTCTTCCTTTCCCTGATCCCAATAACTTTTCCTCTATGAGCATTTTCTTACCCTTATACAATATTTATTGTAGATTTTGGATTGTACAATTTCTTACATTAGGGAGACA